TTCATATATACTAGATGCTTCTTGTTAATTATTTATCATAAATTTTTATTTTGTAAATCTAGAGTTCAGTTTCTTGTGCCATCAAATATGTCTCAATTATACCTGTGCTATCAAATATTTGTCTCAACTATACCATAACCTGGTGAGTTACTATAGTATTTTTTTCTAGGCGACAGGGGAAGGAAGGGGCAGTAGAGATTCTTGTGTGCTTGTTCAATGAGAGTTTGCTTAATTATCCAATCTGAGGAGCTCCTGCCGTGCTTGAGGAGGCAAATCATTCCAGAACTCAGAAAATTCAATTCACAGTCATAAAGCGATCGGATGTTTTTTTTTTCTGCACTGAAGCTATAACTGGAGTCCCAAATGCCAATCTAAAGCTTAACACTACTCAAATAGTCCTTGCTGTTAGGGCTATTAAGAGCAAATGTGTTACATGGTTCAGTACTCTTTAGGTTTTCACTATGTGTTGGTTGATTCGGTAAGAAAATGTATATTACTGGGTACACAGTTTTTTTGCAGTAATTAATGTAGGAGAAGCGGCTATGGTGCGGTGGCGAGGGAGGAGGGAATGGGCACACAAGCAGCCTCAAGGGGGGTCGGCTGCTGAACTTGTGGCGCTCGCCGTCACTGTCGAGGGCATCCAACACCACCGGTGCGCTCTACGGGGTGTAGGCGGCTAAGGGCAGTGCCGACGTTTTCGAGGGCGTTAGGAAGAGCATCGGCTAGTGAGTAAAGCGCCACCCAAATTCGCATGATTCGAGTTCATGTTGTTCTGCCCATATCCTTTTGTTGAAATTCAGTTGGACAAGAAATAGGCCAACAATTTTTTTTCTTCTGATGGAAGGGGTCTCTATTCTGCACATATGCATAGGTCCAGATGTAGATTCCTAAAACAATATAGTAGAGCTTATTTCACTAGTTTGTTTCTGTGAAATGCTATCAGGTTAGATGAGCCCTCAACTAATTTGTGAAACAAGATCACAACTAATATCTGGGCTTCCCGCGCATGTCCTCCTGATTTAGCGGCATGGCCAAGCGGTAAGGGAAGGGAGTGCAAGGTGTCACTGCTCTCTGCTTGCTGACACAACCATGGTGAGTGTGGGAAATATGGAATGGTGTCTGTGTCTGAAGGTTTTCATCATCTTTGAAGTATATTTTCTCATGTAAATGGTGTCTGAGGCTTCTTGATCAGCGGTGCCGAGGGATTGCTGTTGGAGTTGGTCAATCAAAGATATTAGGAAGAATACATGTAATGCAATATTTTTATATATACAATTTGAAAAGTGTTGTTACCAAATTAGTCTAATGAGAAGAAAAAAAATTCTTACTTGAGATGGCTGATGAAGAAAGACAAACTCCCATATTTCGTGGAAGCCATGTGAAGCATATATGTTCCAGGCACTTGTAATCTTTTGATAATCGCGAACAACTTTAAAACCACTAGTTGTGAACTAACTTGTGGACCTTGGTTTTGACAGGGCATCTGTAATTCAAGCGCTCAAACTGTTGGACGGGAATGAGGAGCAAGCTGCTGCATTCTTGTTTGGTGGTTAGACTCCTGAGAGCAGCCGTTTGTGGCTCTCTGTTTGTTGAACCCTTTCCTGGGTTGCATATTGATATGAAGTGACTAAAGAACTAGGAAACTGCTTGGGCAGTTAAAGGACTTACTTTTAGAGATGCTTCATGTTTTCTCTTGTTCCTGAGAACAAACACTTGTTTTCTGTAACTGATACATAGACTGATAGATACCTAAATGCAGGCAAAACTGTTAAGAATTCTCCTCTTATTAAACTGGCGGTTTGGGGGCTTTAAGTGAGAAAGAACTAGGAAAATAAACCACATCCACTGTGCCCATCAATTTTAAACATCTACTGTGCCTATCAATTTTGAATGATGACCGGAGACAGTGTACAGTTCTGAATCCCACCCATTTTAGAATTCCTGGTAAGCAACAACTTCAATTTGGTTGGCCTTCATTTACTACAGCAGTAGTGTTCTATTTATGTTTGAATGCGCACAAGGTAGTCACCAGATAAGTGACAGTTTGATTTGTACTTTAATTGCCTCACGAAGTGCTGTGTGCTAAAGCTTTCTTATTTACATCTTATAAAAGCATGTAAATGGGTTTTGTCTGCCAAGACAGTGGTGCAAATATGATCTCCTGTGACCAATTTGGCTAAAGAGGTTGGAGTGTTACTAGATGGGATTAACTACCTGTTTTGGACAGCCAGAGAAATGATAGATGTCTGCCTCCAAGCGATCCACACTTGGGATGAGTTCATCGCTGCTCTGAATGACAAGCTTGACCTTGGCACCATAGTGAGATGAAGAGGAAGTCGACAAAGATATGAAAGCCCGAACAAAAAGGGAAGGGAAACTTGGAGATGCCAAAACAGTATGCACTTAGTTTGACTACCCATAACTTCTAGAAAGAACCCTGTGCTTACTTTGATTCTAGAAGGCCTGCAAAGATGTGGCCGTTTTGCAGGCACAACTAATGATCTTTAGGGGCCTTTTGATGAGTGGATAAGATGGAAGTTCATATGATTCAGATCCTGTTGGTATAAAATTGTACCTTAATATAAACTCAAGGTTGACACCGCATTGTTTTTTTTCCTTTTGTGAAACCAGTGTATAGGTTGTTCATCATAAGATCAGACATACTTGTTTATTTTAGGTTGTTATTATTTTGCTGATTTTTGAGTTGACATCCATTGTTTTGAGGCATCTATCATGCACATGTATTTCATAGCTAGAAAACCCTTGCCCATCAATTAGTTCCACTCCCTATACTATTTATATTTTTTCTGAATCCACAGATTCATCAATTAGATCCAGTTCAGTGAAATTTTAGTACAGTACCTATAATGACAATGTTCCTTTACAATCCTATTATGTTATCCAGTTTTTGAGTGATTGTTTAATAATCCGACTATTCATATAAACAATCTTTTCATTGAGACCAATACTCGGAGAAGTTTATGTTGTCAACATGTCATTCGGTAACTTTTATATGGCCTAATATTAGCTTGGCTTTTTCTCCATGTCTATAACAATGGGTACAGTCACAAATGACTCGTTAGTTTGGCGGCAGGAGCAGACATGATCCATTGAAGACAATATATACCTGTTGTAGCGCACGGGATAATACTTGCAATAACGATGTTGCAAACATCATGTTCGAAATATCACTTGTAATGGCAATATTGCAAACATCACACACAAAATAGCACTTTGTAATGGCGATGTTGCAAACATCACACGCAAAATATTGTTTTTTTGGTAACAATATAACACATCCATACTTATATTGTCGTGGTGTGATTTACATATATACTCGAACCTGTGTACAGGATGATACGGAGATGCGGCGGAACTTATTCGTGGATTTATAGGTGCACGAAAGAAATAGATATAGGAGATTTCTTCCTGCCGATATAAAACATTATCTTAGGCGCATCATGGAAATGTCTATAAAATAGAGTTTGGAAGCATGTGACGCCGCGCTCTCCGTGACTATTAATTTCACAAACTTTGCTTTTTGGATTAACTGTAACTTTAACGTTGATATTTAATTTTTATAGTATTTTTATCTTATCGCGCGATCCGTGTGTTTTTAGTACAAAATGTTAGCTATCCCGCAGCAACGCATGGGCACGCTAACTAGTATGATATAATTGACAAAAGATCATATCAAGGGGAACTACCTTTCTTGGTTATTAAGTTTTCTTCATGTGTGATGGACTTGGACTCTCCTTTGCCCATCAGATTCTTGAAGATAACTTTCCTTCAGGGCTTACTAATTCTAATTGGTATATAGGGCTGATTGGCTCAATAGATCTAGAGTTAGTTCCCTACCAAAAAAAAGTCCAAAGGGTAGTTTCCTAGCCTAAATATGCAACTTGGATTCTATGATGCCCTCCCTCACAAGTACAAGATTATTTGCAGGTGCTAGGGTTTAGTTTTGTCATCATCATCAAGGTGATCAAGTGCAAAAATCATTGGCATTGAAGGAGTGATCATATCAAGAACCCTTCAAAAGCATTGGGTTGTTTGATCTAATCTGTATCAGAAGTGAGACCTGCAGTTGGAGAGCAACAAAAAAAAATCTGATCATACCAAGGAACATTCAAAGTCTTGGAGCTTTTTCTTTATCTGATCTAATCTATATCAAACTGCAATTGGGAGGCAACTAGGGAAAAGATCAAGATTTAACTGCATTCCAGAGGTAAAGTAAGAATTTTTGTGAAAAAATGTGTGTGTTTATAGTTCTCCTGAAGACATGTTCTGGTTGTGTTCCTTATTCAGATTGGCTTCTCTGTTTCCCATCATCTACTTAATTGCTTAGGACCTTTCCAATTCTCTAGGAATCTTTAGATAGATCTCTTAACTGCACCTTTGCGATTCTCTAGGCATCTTTAGATAGATCTCTTAACTGCACCTTTGCGATTCTCTAGGCATCTTTAGATTAGATCTTACTGAAGAGTACCCCCAATATATACGTACACGTAAAAAAAATAGGCTTAACCGTCCCGTCTGTTCGTCTGGCCGCGGCCTCCGTCAATGCGTTGCCCCGTCGATTGGACTTAGAATCGGCGGGACCGCGAGTGTCCGCGCATTAGCGGCTCGGCGGTCGGCGCCCTTCGCCATTTGCGTCGCCGTCGCCGTCACCGGCCCGTGTCCGCGTTCTGAGTCGTCGGCCGGCTCGCCGATCGCCGCGTGCTCGTGTCGGCCGTTGCCCGTTGGTGTCCCGGCGACTCGGCCATGCAAACCGGTTCTCCACCGCTGTCGCTGTGTACTGATAGGGCGCATTAATCTTGGGCTTCCGCGGCCACCGTCCAGTGAGGCAGAGACCCCATTTCCTAATGATCTCCATCTGACCATACATGGTGTTGCAGGTTTGCAACTGCATTACATGTTCACGTCCTCACTAACCGCCCCCACTACTTGCCATTCCATTTGAACAGGAACCACCACGCGGAAGTGCCGACGTGCTACACATGGACGCGCAGAGAGACACCAAGCCCTTCGTCTCCCCCATCACGGCCACCGCCATACAGCGGAGCCTCCACGGCCCTAGCGCCCGCCAGCCGCCGGCGTTGCCGTCGGAGCACGGTGGCGCTCGAGTGTTAGCAGGCCGTCTGCAACCGCAAGCTCAGCCTCATCAAGCAGCGTGCGTCCTGAACCGGGCCGCTTCGGAGCTGTCAGGCGGTGTCGGCGGCCGAACCAGTGGCGCCGACGAGGCACTCGAGGGTACCTCGGCTCGTAGTCCTTGCTTTGCACCGCGGTTGAGTAGGAAGTTCTGGAGCGCCGGCGATTATGACGCGGCAGCGGCGACAGGCTCTGCGCCACAGCCTCCAAGCATGTCACAATGCTGAAATTTTTTGTGCGAATACTGTTAAATCTTTGTAGCATGCCTCTATGCTCGATGTTGACTACTTTACTCCGTTGCAGGTGTACAGAATCGCATGTGCATCCACCCTGAATTTCTCCACTCCAACGCGACTTCGCATAAATGTCCACTTGGAGGTAAGCTTCTGTGTGGTTTCAGACTTCTTTTATCTTACTACTGTCTTTCTGTTGCACTGTGTCTTACTTCCTTTGCCTTGTTATAGCTATGGCAGAGTTATTGGATAACGCGGTGGATGAGGCAATTGAACAGATTCATTATTTTTTTGAGGGTTGAACAGATTCATTATTGAGCCACACACTTCGATTATTTTGGGTTAAATGTGTGATTGGATTATATTTGGTCAAACAGATAGAAAAGGGTGGTGCTACAAGGATATTGTTGGACAAAATCATTGACAAACGGAATGTATCACCAGCTTTACTAGTTCAAGGTTCTTTCTACTATTTATTATATTATTATTATTAATGTGACAACATTTTAAAGTGATATTTGATTACCAACTTATAAACTTCCCTGGTCATTTTTTGATGGAGTTTGTATGAACTAGATAGTTTGGTCAATGCTTGCATCTTAATGAAGCTTCTTTAGAATATTTGGATAAATCTGGGTATTTATGCCAATGTATTTGAAACTAACAAAGTGCATACTTTCTGGTTACCATACAGATGATGGTGGAGGCATGGATCCTAATTCCTTGAGGCGGTGCATGAGCTTTGGATTTTCAGAGAAACAATCAGGGTCTTCAATTGGACAATGTATTGCCAACTTTGTGTTATAATCTGCAAGTCATCTCCTGAAAATCCATTGTCTAACATTTTGGCATTTACTACTCTGATCAGATGGAAATGGATTTAAGACAAGCACAATGCGGCTTGGGTCAGATGCTATTGTGTTCAGCCGCTGCACAAAGAGTGGGTACCATATAAACTCACTTAGATCTATTTCTTTTTGCGAACTACTTTTCTTTGTCAATTGAAATAATGGCAAATTATTACTTGTTCTCAGTGAGCCTACACAATCCATTGGTCTCCTATCTTACACTTTCTTGCTGGAAACTGGACAGACAGATGTTGTAGTTCCGGTGGTACGTTGTGTGATTTTATTTTTTATTTGTTTGTCATAAGAAACTACATATATAACACTTCCTTTATTTCTGATGATACCTTTTCTCTTCTTAGGTGGATTATAAATGCAATCTAATGAAAGGACAAACTCAACGATTGGAGCGTCATGGTTCAGAGCAATTCTGCTCAAATTTGTCAGTGTTGTTGAAATGGTCCCCTTTTGCAACAGAAGAAGAGCTGATGCAGAATGTATGCTAAACCTGCCATCCTTTTGAAGTCTAGAGAATAGAAATACAAATTTTTATTTAATAAAACATAAATCACTACATCATTAAATCGACAAACTTAGACCTTCCGCAAGGTACAAGCTGGATAAATTGCTTGCTGTTTAAATACATGTCACAACTCATGTATAGAAAATCATTTAAAATAGTAAAATTCAACAATTTGGTGTATCTACTGCAATCTCATTTAGTATTTATTATTGATATATAGGTTAGCCAAAATTCTAATGGTTGTTGCAATCTATGGTTGATGAACAGTTCTGTGACATTGGTCCACATGGCACCAAGATTATAGTGTTCAATTTGTGGTCCAACGATGATGGTAAATTGGAACTCGACTTTGACACGAACCCAGAGGTAACCATCAAATACGGAGTATACCACTTGAATGATTCAGCGTAGTCATTGTTTTTATTGTTAAACTAATATTCTCAACTCTGATGATTGCTTCTCTTGGACAACTTTTACCAGCTGTGTAAAACTGATCTTTTAAGTTTGCTGTGTTGTGTAGATTGTTTTCCTAAAGAGGATTTTATTTTATTCTATTTGTTTATGTTGTATATTGTCAGTTGCTGGATTTTTTTTGTTAGCTGCTGGGCTGCTCATCAAAGTTCTTGCTATTTGTTTGTATTTCAGGATATTATGATTAGTGGAGCACCAAATCCAGAAGAAATTAGCAACTCTGTAAAAAGGACTAATGAGAACCATTTGGCAAATCGACTACGCTATTCTCTTAGGGTGAGTATCACACGGTTTACCACTCCTGCACAAGACTTGTGAGTTGGTTGCTGACATAGCATTCTGCAGGTCTATGCTTCTGTGCTATATCTGCAGCTACCAGATTACTTTAGAATCATACTTCGAGGTTAAGAAGTTAAGCGTCATAGCATTGTCGCTGACCTAATGTATCCTGAATGCATCACTTACAAACTCCAAGGTTGCGGAATAAAAGAGGTTCGCCTTGGTTTGTCTTTTTTTACTTCACCAAATAACTTGTTGACTGTGTGAATACAGAGTTTCATACCCTTGTTCTTGTTTCTCCTTTTTGCATTCTCTTTGGTTGATTCAGGCTGGGGTTCTTACAACTATTGGATTCTTAAATGGTTCCCCAACTATTAGCGTGCACGGATTTAATATCTACCATAAAAATCGCCTTATTTTGGTGAGCTTCCTGACCCCTTGCATTGAGCCACTTGATAAAAACAAGATTTACACAATTATTATCTTTTTATAGCATCTTTTTTTTAAAAAAAAATCTACTGCAGCCATTTCATAGAGTTCTGAGTTCTGCGAGCAGCAAAGGTAGAGGCGTCTCCGGAGTACTAGAGGTAGGCTTCATCAAGCCGACTCACGACAAACAAGACTTTGAGAAGTCGCAGCTGTTTCAAAGGCTGTTCAACAGTCTGAAAGACATGACTAACGAGTACTGGTAAGTTCCAGGTTCCGGATATCTGTTTCTCCCAAATCTACTAGCACCAATACAATTCTTGCTTCGCCTCAGATGTCACCACATAAATGTCTCAATTCTTCTTTAGGGATATTCAGAGTCACAAGATTGGATACGTGAAAACGCCACGCCGGAGTGCAGCTCCCACTCCTCCAGTGATGCTGCAAATAGCGAATGGCACTGCTGAACCATCAGAGGGGAGTCCACCTGCTTCGATGCCACTCTTGGGATCCCACGGCAACTATGTGAATGCAGTTCCAATCGCCTTTGCGCCTCCTGGTTTCAACTCAACGCCAGTCAAAACAGAGCCTGTTGCACCAGGAGAGCCTATGGGGTGCTCTCCGTCCCAGCCAAACATGCAGACCATGCAAGTCATCAACCAGACGAGCTCACCTTCCATGGCGCCCGGCACTGGTTCCGCAGAGACAAGGAAGAGGAGGAATGAAGATGCTGCTCTGACGGTTGCGATTAAAAGGCAGGCTATGCAAGATTTGGCTGACAGCAGCTCTGCTACTGATCAGGTTGGTAGTTAGTACAGACAGCATTGTTGTTCATCCAAGCTAGTACTACCTTTTTGGTGCACACTGTCGCCTTGATTGTTATGCGATCTCTATGTTATATTGATTTCAATCTCTTGGCGAAACAGGTATGCCAGTATATGGAAGAGCGAGAGCTGAGGAATTTTCCTTCTTGAAGATGGAAAACCAGATGCTCCATGAAGAGTGAGCCTAACGATTAATCTTGCTTTGGTTTAACTTCATCCTATAGTGATTTTGCCAAAGTGGTGTCTAATGCATTTCTTTGTTTTGTGTGTTTTTTTTTCTCTATAGGTGCTCGCATTTTGAGACGGCCGAGAAGGAGCTACTACTCAAGGTAAAATTCTCTGCCTTCCTGTGATGACGAGTCTGACGAATTGAACCTGACCGTGTGATTATTTGTGTCGAACAGGAACAGAATCTGCGGCTCGAAATTGAGAAGGCGCGGGAGCAATACAAGAGCCTACTGGACGAACACGTTTCGGTGTCAGCACAGCGTTAGGTGTCGCTTCCGAAGTCACCGGGCGCGGTTTGCCATTGTTGAACCTGACCCTGACCTCGTGCTAGCTCAGCTCTTCATGACAAGTGGTCATATTCAGCATGCCAGAGAACCGAACACTGCCGGTGTAGACAACTAGACATGCATAGCGCGGAAGGCATGTATGTGTGCTCAGAAGCTCGATCGGCTTGGTTTCTTCTCCCGTGTCCAGAGGAACTCGCTTGGGCAAAAAGGGGATCTTTCTTTTTTTGTAAAAAAAAAAAAGAGGTTTTCCTTTTGGCAGGTCTGTGTCTAGCGTGTAGACTGAAGTGCCAAAACTAAACTGTTCGTGTTACTCCTTTTTAAAGAAAAAAAAACTGTTGATGCTTTGGGAAATTGAGAAACTGAGATGTAAAATAAAATGTAAAAAAAAAAAAACCCTACCGTGTTGGCTTCTGTAGAGATGAGACCACGAAGGCACGACAGGCTGGGCCTCCTCAAGCCGCAACTAGTCCACCTCTCGCCGGGAAGAACAAGAACCCCGGCTAGCTAGGCCAGGACGTGTCAAAAATATGGTGGACATGGGTTTGGGCACGTCAAAACTATCGCACGAGTCAATTATGCATTGGATCGCTGGGATCTTTGGCATACCACCAAGGCCATAAGCCCATTATTACTAATTTCATATATTAACAGTTTGTCACTGGAAACTACACAGCTTTCCATTAAAAAACACTGCATCATGAAGGGTTCTCAGGTACAACTCCCAGAGGCCTTCCTCTGTGCAAATAGGAGGCAATTGGTGGTTGTTATCCAAGATCAGCCCAGCGACAAGCTGGGAATCTGGTGAGGAGTGAAGCTTGGGAACGTCGGTTCCTTCAGTGAAAAGCCAGGCTGTAAAGTACTGTTAGCTGATTTGTTATGAGAGAAAAACACTATATCATGGTTGATAAGTTCAAGCGAACAGAACATAGTAGATACATAAGATCGAGTCTCTTCAGGAAAAAAAAAATCAGACAATGTTCGAGAGTGTGGCCTTGGAGAAAGGGTTCATCAGTAAGCGCCCGCCATCATTTTGTATGAAACCAATTCGGCTTCCGGGTGAAGCCAATTTCTCCATTTCCTGGAGGCTAGCTGGATCAAAACAATAATCTCAAGGAAAAAAAAACTCATCGTTTACAGACTGATTTCTACACGCAGCATAAAGAATCCGCTCCTCACAAATCCGAATGACACTTCAGTCTGTTGAAACTCAAATAGGCAGGAACAAAAATCTGTTCAGAAATCTGACAGAACTCTTTTGACACTTCCTGCACAATGAGCGATGGAACAAAATAAAGACGAGCAACAGAAGAGCACCAAACATTAAAATTGTTAGAATCATGAGATCATTAAGGGAAGCAAAACAATGCCAGGTTGCTATTGTTGGTGAAACTACAGCGACAGCAAAGTCACCGATGCTACTGCTGCATCAACGATGCACAATCTTCGGCCCTGTTTGTTTCGCTGAAAAGCCAGGCTGAAAAGTACTGTTCGCTGATTTGTTGTGAGAGAAAAATACTGTACAGCCAAGCTGATAAGTTTCAACATTTCTTTTTTGAGACAGAGGCAACAGCTCTGAACAGAGGAGAGCGTAAGCTCAGGCTTATCAGATATGCAACAAAACTAAAATACGCAGGGCTACCCTATATAGAATATAACAAAATGAACTCCTGAAAGCTTCAATGCTTAGCAACAGAATCTTCATGCGCCACCTTCATCAAAACTTTTTATAGTCTCAATGTTTACATTAATATTTGCAGGATCTTTAAAAGTATGAAGAACGCTTAGACAAAAGTATTTATTCTAAAATTTTGCAGAACTCGGAACTTGTAAATGTAAGCACAAAACCACAAGATTGAAATGAGAGCCCTGAAACCCAGGTTGAGCAATACTAACAGCCCTTTTGTGAAGTGAAATGTTCCTCCTGCTGCAGCATTGCATACATGAAAACACTAGCATCAACTATAGCTTGTGCACATAATCATTAAAACTTGAGTCTTAGAGAGTAGCTAGTAATTAATATGGTTCAACAACATCACAACGATACTGATAATCTGGCATCAGTCAATAAGAGTACATATTACATAATATAAAGACCATGCGGAAGCTAAGCTGGCCTGACGATACTGATAAGCAGGCATCAGGCAATATATAAGAGTACATATTACATAATCTAAAGACACTGCAGAAGCTAAGCTGGCCCGGTTACATATCACCAGGGAAGAGCTAGCTAAGGTTGGGATCTCCATACATACATATAAGGCCAAACTTCTTCATGATCTGCTTATGTACGTACACACAAAGCTAAGATGAAGTTATGGCTAGAGCTATCTAAGTTGATCTCTACTTCGTTCCAAAGTAGCCATAGACCTTGCGCTGCTCTTTGGTAGAGATGATCAGGCAGGCTAGATGTGTCATTTTAGAACTTCCGGGGTTTCCGCCTGAACCCCGGCAGTTCCATG